ATTCTTTTCATTTCTTTCTTGCTTAGTTCACGCTTTGCAGTCGCAACGAACGATCGTGCAGAACAAGCAAATGCACTCAACCGCACAGAACAGCAACGTGTACCCGCTGGCCAGTTCCGTCAGAGTGAAAGCGGAGGAGCCTGTCGGGCCGTTTTCCGTCTCGGTGAAACGGAAGGACTCAATCCACCATAGCGATCTCGATAAAGTGTATAGCTCTGCGTCTCAGGTTATTTCCGAACTTCCTTCATGGCCATGTGCTCCACGGGCCAGAGATAGAGCTCGCTTCTAAGTGTGGTTGATTACGGGGCTGCTTAAGACGCGTACCCAACTGATCGTCGGCTTTACTCTGCGCACAAGTGCACTGTAGTAACAATCCATTAGCGTACATCGCATTCTAGTCTCGTTAATTTTGGCAGCTTTTACGAGTGACCCCACAGCTTCCGCATAGCGTATCTAAGTTCACAACTAGGCCCGTGTGCTCAGGTTTGGGCGCACGTAAAGAACCCTACGTGGTCGAAATTTCCTGAGCCCTCTACTACAGCGTCTCTCATAATCATATGGTGATTTTGGCACACTGAACCCTACATATCAATCAATAAATTCACAACGTGCAATCACTGCCTCACCTGGTTAAACATGAAAAGTCAGTGCGCATTCAAGAACGTGCTTGAAGCACAGATCTTTTTGTGTCGCAGAAGCTACAATCAGCCGACGTATCTATTTCAAAACACAATAATTTTGCGCATTCCCTGTCACCTAACTTACGAAGAAATAAAAAAAAAAGTCAGCTAGAACAAAGTTCATGATATATCGCTCAGTAACGACAGAATGTCACCCTCAAAAAGCTTTGCATTCAACAGTCGGTATGAGAAAAATGTGCGCAAGAACACTTGTTATTTCACCAATTTCGCTTTTATGAGCACTCCTATATAGACATTGCGCAATTATAGTATTACTAGAACTGTTACAAAGTGGCTTCCCCTACGCAAAATTTACACGCTAAATGCCTGTGAAATGCCCCGCCGCGGTGGTCTAGTGGCTAAGGTACTCGGCTGATGACCCGCAGGTCGCAGGGTCGATTCCCGGCTGCGGCGGCTGCATTTCCGATGGAGGCGGAAATGTTGTAGGCCCGTGTACTCAGATTTGGGTGCACGTTAAAGAACCCCAGGTGGTCAAAATTTCCGGAGCCCTCCCCTACGGCGTCTCTCACAATCAAATGGTAATTTTGGGACGTTAAAACCCACAAATCAATCAACAAATGCCTGCGAAAGTACCACATGAAACCTTATTACAGATGTATTTCATAAAAAGAAAACACTTTTCTGGCAAAGCATTTTATACAACTTCAGGTATGGTGGACGTCCTCTCAGCCAAGATCAGTGAGCAATCCAAGATTTTTTTTTATTAAGTCTTGCTTTGGGGACATATACAATGCTGCACTTGTCTATAAATAAACAAGAAAGAGTATAAATGACAAGTCGTTTGTTTTAATTTCAATATTTTGTGCTTGATGCGATAAAATGGCAAAATGGGTAAGTTTATTACAACTACATGATATTTAAAATTTTCACGAGTGGATTTTGCTTTCACGAACTGTTAGGTGCCTGTGTATTTACGCAAATCGATAAACGCCCGAAATAATACAAATGGTAATGCATGTTATATAATGACACAACATGTCATCGACGGAAGGCGTACTTGAATGAAATGTGGTTCATTGCCAGTACGGAACGCCCTACCAATGAATATTTCATCGAGGGCGCTAATGATGCACTACGCACGAGTCGGAAAGCGCCGAGCGGCCAGCAAATAATGCGCAACCGATGAGGCAGTTTGGATACAATGACCTCTTTCTCGCGCCCAAGATCATAGGATAATGGGTCCTTGAATCACGCGGCCCCTGCTGGCCGCTCGGTTGGTGGCGCCACGGTCTACTTTCTTTCTTTCTTTCTTTCTTTCTTTCTTTCTTTCTTTCTTTCTTTCTTTCTTTCTTTCTTTCTTTCTTTCTTTCTTTCTTTCTTTCTTTCTTCCTTTCTTTCTTTCTTTCTTCCTTTCTTTCTTTCTTTCTTTTTTGTTTTCTTTCTCTCTTCCTTTCTTTAGTAATCGTCTTACCACTTTATCCTGGCATTCTGCAGGAGATGGTCATTGAGGAAAGATAGCTCCCAAGCGTCTGCTCCAAACCGGCATTTACCGCTGCTATACAGGCTGTAGCGCGTACTGTAAGTCCCGGAACGGGAAGCGGTGACAGTATTCCACGCTCTGGGGCCGGCGACATCGTGTTTCGTAACAGGTGGCGCATATCCCTTAAGACGCAAGACAGAAGCACACAGCGCGATGGTACAAAGAAAAGTGCTAGAATACGCGACCAACGGGACGAGGCACCATGAAGGCGCTCCCTTTTGCCATTTAGCTAAGCATACGTACCCCGTTTCTTGCAGAATATAATTATTACCATCAGGTTGCGTTGCAGCCACTTAGTCATACTAACATTTTGGTGCATCACTGTGAAACTGCTGAACTAATTGTTCTCGATGCATTGTGCAACAATAACACCAAATAAGCAAAGCTTTCTCAGTCAGAAATGTGTTTGTGCGCATCAAAATGTTAGGAGAAGAGACAAAAGCAGTGGTTGATGGGGAGAAATTATGGCTAGCTTGATTTTCTGATACCTTGGCAGGCGTGCGACTACGGTTAAAGTTACGATCAGTAGCAGAAGGAGGAGGTGAGTGCGATAAGCGCTGGGGAACGGTGACTTTTTTTTTTTCAATACTTGCACTTGGCTCGCGGAAAAACGATGCCCAAAGGGTTAAAACACCTAATTTCTTCGTTTTATTCAGCACCTGAAGACTCTTCAACTGTGCTCCGCGCTCTGAATCGTGCGTGCAAATACAAAGAGGCGGCATTTAAAATGTTACGCCCCTGTGTTTACATGCAAAGTGCCTACACGTGCCGAAGCTTAAGTTTCCAACTTTCTTGCTGTTTATTGATAGCAAAATGCTTTGGTCACGTGCCCGAAAACTTCCAGAAAAAAATAAGGGGAAGCTCTCTCAGCTTCGAGCATCGTTCATATGTTTCACTTCCGTGTCGCCATGGAGTTGGCAGCACAGTCTTCATTTTTTCTTAGAGTTACCTAAAGGGTATATGCACCAGTCTTTGAAGGCAAAGGAAACGTATATCCAACTTTAGTTATATTGATAACATGAAAGCCTTAGTTAACAGCAGGCAACCACGTACACTGCTGCTGTCTCAAGGCAGCCGCGGTGTGCGTGGTCTCACGCAATATCTTCTCAAGCCATTATATACTGTTGAGAAGCAATCTGGACAACTAGAGCTTACAATGTTCGCGAAAACGTGTTGACAATTGAAAGATAAAAGTAACCAAGAATGTGATGAAAGCCAATGTAACACAAGCCAACTTACGCCTGAGAGCCCAGGGTTCGAACTTTCGCATGCCCAGAAGCACCCGGAACAGCGCTGCCGAGCAGTCACTTGTGACATTGGAGCCAGTACCCAGTGCCGTCATGCGAGGCAGAGACTCGTGGATTAGACGGTCCATGAGAGCCCGGAGGCGGCTCTCTACGTCCGGGTGGTCGGGCACAGTAGTGGCGCTGACGGGCGCTTCACCACCGGCTGTCGTGTCACTGCCGACGTCTTCTGCCACGGCGCGCGACACTTGTGGCTGTTTCGTGGCTGCCCGCGCGACGGCAAGATAGATGCAGACCGCGGTGACCACGAGTGTCCTGCGTGTCCACATTGCGGGCGCCTCAGATAGTAGTAGCAGCTGCGCTCACTCGCGATGCTGTGAAGGGACACGAGTTGTTGTTCTCTGACGCGGCCTCTGGTAAGAACTGGAACTCCTTTCGACCGAATGGAGAGCAGACGTTCCTTCCTTCATTCCTTTCACCTTCTTTCGCTCCTTGCTGTGTTGTGCCTCTCTTCTCCCCCACTGTTTCCCGCCTTCAACCAGTCCGGCCGTCTGCACTTCCTTCCTACAAGAGGGCCTTCTCCTCCTTCCAGTTCCTCGAGGAAGTCCGGCGGAACAACGAGCCGCCCGCCGTTCGCTCACCCATTTTTACAAGAGCAGGAAGATTGCCAGTATACGAGCACGGGGGCGGTGGCATCATAAGACGATACACGCTGTCTTCTTTCGCGTGTTTGTATGTGCGTGTGTACATAGGTCCTGTTGACGAAAATGAACGACGCACACAGCGTGCGGCTGAGGCCATCCTCATTGCGTGACCACGGGCTGGCCTTTCGTCGTCTAAAAGCTCGCGGTTCCGCCTTCGGTGAAAAGGCAACTGTTTTCAGCACGGCTTTCGGTGGGCCATACGGGTACCATTAAAAGTAACGGCCGCCCTAAGAGCAGTATCATGCGCAGCCCCGTTTGGCAACACGACGTGGCCTTCTAGTCGATGGCTTCCTGAACCCTTCGTTTCACTGTTGCGTCAGACGCATTGCTTTTTGAGAACGCGATTATCGGCCAGCGACGGGGTGAGTTGCTCGAGGCATGGATCGTGCGCTTTGACTCCGCCTATTTTCGGAAGCAATTTACGTCAGACACGGCCGTTTTGTCGATGTCTTTTCTCAAAAAATCATCATAGTGTCATCGACCTCGCTAGCCGGATATGACAAAAATAATACGTGCACAACAAAGCCTGTATAATGCCTAAAATAAAAAAATTGAAAGAAGCTTGTTCATCTAATTCCTGTTTCTATAAGAATGCCGATGCTCTAAGATGTTCTTGTGGTCTTTATCTAGAATACAAAAAAAAAGTATTCCAGATTTTACTTCAATGCTTCTCAATTGTTACCCTGCGTTCTCTTTTTCCTACAGCATACATTCAACAAAGAAGGACAGAATATGGTGCCATTGTGACTAAAAAAAACCCTCCTAGACTGGCACTATTGCACCTCCAGCCATGAATGTTATCAATAAGGGTAGGTAAGGAAACACATTTGTAGCAAGAACCTGAGTAAAAGGAAGCCAAGGCGATGACATCTTTTGTTCTTCGATATGCATCCTTTAATTCTATTTTCTCTTTTATTTATTCCTCAGTTATTTAATAGCTTGCGTTGTCCTAATTCGACTGTGCCGCAGTGGATCACGCTGTGGGAGCCATCGAGCACACGGCACAAGCACATGGTCACCTGCATGCTGAATAAAATTTTGAATCGTTTTAGGTTGATAATTCAAAAGGGATATTTTCCCACACATTACATGCTTTCAATTATGCATTGCAATCTTTTATGGGACTGACGGTGGATGTGCAAGAAAAGTCAAAAGATACATCGATTGCTGGTTTGAGTTTGAAAGGCTCGAAGGATTGTTTGAAGCTTGTTTTCTCTTTGCTCAAGCTATATCAAGCGCGAGAGCACTACTACGTAAGTGAAAGCGCCCAAAACTTACGCGTTTAGCTTGGAGAACAGTGCCAAGACAAGACAAAAAAAATAACATCGTGGTGAGCAGCATGATGAACACAGACACAAACTAGAAATGGACACGCCACAACAGTGGCTTTCAACTGAATTTTTATGGAAAAACGGGTAACATATGTAACACACTAACAGAACCCCTCTTCTGTGCTCTGTGTCTGTGTTTTTCGCGCTCTCAGCCATGATGAATCTGCACCAACTCACCTAGTTTTCTGTCATACTTAAAAAAATAATATTATTAATATAAAACAATGTACTGAGACTTTAAAGTCAGTGCTTTATTCAAGCTCTTCATTCGTTCTTCCCTCATCCTGACACTTTTAACTAGCCAAAATTAGCGTTTTATAACTTGCTGAAGTACTCTAAGTAATCAAAAATAAATGAAGACGGTGTGGCGCGTATATTCGTTACAAGCTACAACAAACATATTGATATTTCAACACGCCAAAATGGCCCCGTTGTGGTGGTCCAGTGGCTAAGGTACAAGGCTGCTGACCCGCAGGTTGCGGGATCCAACCCCGGCTGCGGCGGCTGCATTTTCGAAAGTTGCTGTCGGCCTGTGGGCTCAGATTTGGGTGCACGTTAAGGTACCCCATGTAGTCCAAAGTTGCGGAGCCCTCTACTACGGGGGCTCTCATAATCATATGGTGGTTTTGAGACGTTAAACCCTACATATCAATCTATCAATCAACACTCCAAAATGACGAGAAAGAGTGATAACTTAATTTAATGGCGGACATGTTTTTAAACAAAACTAAACGAAATTGTGACACAACAAAAAACATGTACCTGGACATTGCATCCACATTGGTGATTATGTGTTAAAATTTTAGCTAGCGGCGAACCAGCTAACTGCTAATTCTCTTTCGAACTTAGTTTTTTTATACTGTGCAGACATAACAAAATGCAGTGCATTTGGATTGTAAAGCGTAATGAAAAGTTGGGAGCACAATAAGATACGTTCATTCCTTAATATTCACCTTGTAGTGCTTTCCTATTTCTTACTAAAGATCACTTAGCCATTTCATTTTCCAAGTACTAAACGATGACATCAGGTTAACCACATACCAAAGGCACATCTTCTTCACACAAGCACTATAAAAGTTGCACAGAATACTCACTTTATTTTAGCTAGCGTTGGAACCATAAAAAATATTTACGCCACCACAACATCGACGAACATTCAGCATTATTACTCCAAAACAAACTACCACAAAGTAATCAATGCAAAAAACGCTCTAATATTGTTACAACGATGAAAGATGTCGAGTTTGAACACGGAACTAAAGTAAAAAAAAATTAATGGGAATAAAAAATGAAACACTCACAGCACTTTGTATCTGATCTGACTCATAGCGGAAATTTTAGTGTTGTGTAACGCTTACGATGCTCACGCAATTTGAACGTTCTTGGAATATTTCACCTTTTTCCTGCACTAGCACCAGCGAGCACGCTTTCCTCCTTAGAAAAGAGCTACGCGGGAAAAAAATTATCCTGGAAAGCAAGCGGATGCCACTTGTCGCCGGCTGTTCCCACACGAGGCCGTCATCATTTATCTTTCGTCCCGCTGTGCACAGTCAATAAAGTATTTGCCCATCAATTTAAGTGCGCTATATGTATACGTTGCTTCGCTTGAATAGGCGAGTCTTGCGGGCGACAAATGTGGGGATTAAACGCGAAAAAGTTGCTAAGCAAACAGTGTGCTTGACAAAATGCATTTTGTATGAGCATGGCACAGCGAATTTATATTTGTGCGTCTGGGGTCCTCCTGTTGGAACACTAAAGAGATCACACAAGATGTTGATCAGGAAGATCGTTTATCTAAAACTCGGAGTTCCTCCTTTGTCTCAATAGCAACAACGTGAACGTATCGAGGATTGTTTCTGGTTCGGGGAGCTTAAGCATGTTACGTCTCTCCGTGTTCTCTGCCGAGCTATTTAGTTCATTATTTAACCATGTAGTGGAACAACTCCTTAACCAAACAGACATTTCTAGCTTCTCATATAACTACAGTATATTCCGCCCTTTCTCTCCTTTTTTCCCCGTGCATTTATTACCTGCACTGCCATAAATTATACCATGTCAAAATGCCTCCCTGCACACAAGCAATGACTACGCTTAAGTGCCTCCATTGGGCATTTGCTTTCAATTTGAAATGTATATTATCACTGGCTCTGAAAACCACTATCAGTTAGGTGCATTGGCTTTAGCGAAACATGTTTTCTTCAGTAAGTATGAAGGTCACCTTTCACGAGATGCCTTTCACAATCTATCTATCTATCTATCTATCTTGCCGCCTATGACTTTTAGCCTCTCCTGGCCATCTCGATAATAGTATCGATACCTAAATTGGCATGGTATAACATGACTGTATGACAATCATAATTCACAACTCATAACATGAAAATCACGATACGTATGTCATGACCGTCATGATTTAGATTTCTTGGTCTTGCTGCTTGTGCGGTGGTTTCGTTTCCATGACATTTTGCAAAACTGGTATGGTATGCCAAGATTGCATGACGAACATACGTGACAGACCGTAACGTGCAAATGATGACAAGTATGTCGTGATTTTCATGTTATGACTAGTCATAAATACACACCACACTAATGGTGCACTCGCAGTCATTTCGCTAGCTTCACATATACCAAACTTCTTGTTACGTGACGTTATTGGATGACGAAGGTATCTGACTGGTTCAAACATGATAATCATGACATGAGTGTCATGTAAGAACATGACAGCACTCCACGCTCATGATGTGCTCGCGGCTCTTTCAGTTGCTTCCGATATACCAAATTTGGTATTACGAGAGGTGAATGGACGATGAAGGTAAATAACACCTCCAAGCTTGATAATCATGACATGCGTGTCCTGTAAAACATAACTGCATGCTGCGCTCATGGCGCGCTCGCCACAGTTTCGCTAGCTCCACCTATTCCAGATTTGGTATCATATGTCGTCAATAGACGACGAAGGAAAATGACTCGTCCAAACATGATACACTTGATATGCGTGTCCCCCGCTGCGGTGGTCTAGTGGCTAAGGCACTCGGCTGCTGATTCGCAGGTCACGGGATCAAATCCCGGCTGCGGCGGCTGCATTATCGATGGAGGCGAAATTATTGTATTTCCATGTGCTCAGATTTTGGTGCACGTTAAACAACCGCAGATGGTAGAAATTTTCGGAGTCCTCCACTATACGGCGTCTCATAATCATGGAGTGGTTTTGGGACGTTAAAAACATATAGCAAATTAATTGATATGGGTGTCATGTAAGACATGACTACATGCTACGCTCATAGCGTACTTATGGCCACTTCGCTAGATGAACATATCACGTCATGTGATACTAAATTGGTTATCACGTGACGTTAACAGACGACGAAAGCAAATGACACATACAAACATGATATTCATGGCATTAAAGTGATGCACGCCATAATTTACGTCCACATCGTAATGTTGTGCTGATTTTAAAGGGACATATCAACCTTTCTCACTCGTGCTTCGCATATCATCGATTCCCACATTACGTAAAATCTGCCATTTTTCTACCCCTGGCACAGTTGGACCACAGATTGATCATTTTGGCTCACAACGTAATGGTGTTAATTAACAACAATGAATGCAATACGATGGCAGTTTTTAGACAACGGCTTCAAGAAAGGCCAAAGAACAGCTATCCATTCATTGTTTTTGCCTTACACAGGGAACATGCTTCTGTTCGAGTAATCATGGAATGGTCCTACCGGTTGCATAAGCCTTGAGCTATCGTTTTAACAGAATGGAACGCCTGCGCACAGGGGTTACTCAAAACTTTTGACCAGAGCAAGCGATGTTAGGTTTCCACTAATCCACGCGACCCCTACCTATGAGAAGTTAATGGACATTTTGACTCCAGCATGACCTCCCTTGGCAATTCTTAAAACAATGCGGTGCTTGATCTCCGTGATGTCGTCACAAACAGCACCTGCACGTTAGAATATAACAAGGCGTGAGCCTGTTCATCAAGCTTAACACAGTGCGTAGCCTGAAATGATAATCTATGTAAGTGGCCGCGGGAAGGCAAGGTTATTATGTGGGTCACAGCTTACATACGTTGCTTTAGGAAGACGCAAGACTGGTTACGGTCGGGCGTGCCTATTTCCAGATCTTCCTGGAAGATATTCGGCCGGTGGCTCGTCGCTATGGTGTGATGTAATCAGGTATCAGAAGGAAGTTGGGTGAATTCTGGATTCACGCAAGGCTGATTTCGTCGATTGTGGTTGAACACGTGCTAGACAAGCACACACACACGAGCAGGCATACACACGCCCGCACACGTACACTTTACGTCTGAAGATATCCCAGAGAAGAGTACAGTCAGAATTGTAAGACTCAATTATTTTTCGAGATCTTAGACAGGGAGACAAGTTGTTTATGAAGCAGTTTGCCATGTGCAGGTCAGTTGTCACAAATGGTACATGGGTAGGGGTGTTGTTAAAGTTTTAAGATTTGTTGACGACATTTCATTATTTGTAGACAGGAATTTCATGGACAGCCATTTTGGTCGGTATTAATACCATGACAATTTCTAGCAATATTCCACGACTGCTTATTTTTCTTCTTTCTTGTAACCGACCCGTTACACGTGCAACCACTGCATTCTGCGCACCGCACCGGAAGGTCGAACATTTTCTGTTATTTTTTGAATTATTCTGACAAGCTTGACCACGCAATGCCAACAGTTCAGTTTATTATTGAGATAAGAGGACCGCCAAAAATAAAACTGGAATTTTCGACTTCACTTTCTAAATGCCAACTCGCCTTGTCACTCACGAACCACATGACCAACGAGGCTATCATTCTGCTAGGTGTGTTAGAGGGGTACTGACACAAGTTTTCATGAGCGAAATAGTCTATGGGATCGACTCCCGTGAGCATGCGTATATCATCGGCAAAATACTAACAGCGAATATGACTTGGAAGGTTTGAAAACTATATGAATTTTGAGCTTACGTGCACGATCCACCACTATACGCCACACCTTGCGGCATTGACACCCTTGAAAGGGCCTCGAAGGTGATCCCCCTACTTCCTCGATGTCACCGCGCTGCAGCCGGTACAACAAGTTATGATGACGTCATGTTGCCCATTTTTATTTTACCGCACTCGCGCCAGGAAATTCTTTTTCGGCAGCTGCTCGTGGGTTTGTGGTGGCATGCATGCGTTGAAAGGTTCGTGTTTCGTGACACTGATTTCCCGTGGTGCAACGCTGCACAAGCTAGGTGGTGATGTATAGTTGTACCCAGCAGCTTGTCGTGTTTGAAGCACCCTGAAACTATATCTGAGACTGGTCGGTGATGAGGGGCGTGTAAATATACATCTATCATACGCTGCCGCAAACGATGTGTCGTGTTATAGCTAACAGGGCCCCAGCAACACAGTGCAGCAAAAACTCGCAAGATCAAAATTTTTCGTGTCAGTATCCCTTTAAGGGCTCATTCGCCCCTGCAACTACCCGGTCACGCGACAGCTTGCGACTAGCGGTAAAAACCATGTCTGATCCCTCTTTCTAAGAATCGGTATAACACGAAAGTGTAACGTGTCTTCACAAAGGTTTATTTTGCATTGTTTCGCCACAAGGACGAAGGAATAAATGCTACATCAACAAATTGCAAAGCCACGTGAAGGAGGACAAGCAGGTCGAAACAAGCTGTGCGCACTTCCAGCAGAAAGCACGCATGAAATAAGTATGCACAGGACAAGAGCGGACAACCAACTGTGTGACAGCTTGATTGATTGATTGATTGATTGATTGATTGATTGATTGATTGATTGATTGATTGATATGTGAGGTTTAACGTCCCAAAACCACCATATGATTATGAGAGAAGCCGTAGTGAAGGGCTCTGGGAATTTCGACCACTTGGGATTCTTTAACGTATACCGAAATCTCAGCACATGGGCCTACAACGTTTTCGCCTCCATCGGAAATGCAGCCGCCGCAGCCGGGATTCAATCCCGCGACCTGCGGCTCAGCAGCCGAGTACCTTAGCCACTAGACCACCGCGGTGTGACAGCTTGACACTTAAATCGCGCTGCTCAAACAGGAAGACGAACGAAACAAACGCAAAAGTATACGCAGGACAAGAACAAAGAGCAGTCGAGATCCTTACTTTTTCATGTGCGAGCAGCGTGCTTCTTTCGTAAACGCGGCCGCAGCAGCGAGAGGCATCACCTTCGCGCCTTTATGATCTCCTGAATCACAAGTCTCATAAGCGCGCGCAGGAGAGACCATGGGAGGCGGCGCTCATCGAAAGGCGAGAGGCATGAATGAAGGAGGCGATGACCTTCAGAGCGCGCCCAACGTAAGCTCGTCGCGCCTACTTGCAATTTAATGACCAAAACGCACTGCAGCTGCAAAACTCTGAGAACCACGAAACAGTATATGGTGTAAATAAGGTGCTTGTTATTAGTTCTCTCGTCAAAGAACGTTTCGTGGTGTAGTGGTTAGCGCCGCGCACTGCTGACCGGAAGGTCACTGGTCTTGCGTCACACTACAGCATCTTTCCCTCTCGTTTTTCGTCTTTGACATTTGATAGTATATATTTCACAACATCATATCCACGACGCAAATACGTCATCAAAGCAGTGGTGACCTCAGCATAAAACACTTTCGCGTTGAAAAGGCGACTCAAAGCTACTAATGTACACAGTGTGTCATACATACATACATACATACATACATACATACATACATACATACATACATACATGCATACATACATACATACATACATGCATACATACATACATACATACATGCATACATACATACATACATACATACATACATACATACATACATACATACATACATACATACATACATACATACATACATACATACTTTGCCACATAGATCTCACGTTTGCACAAACATAGCTCGCACTTCCACAGCCCCAAAAAATAAGCATACCTCCTGTTCCTGCACACGTGACTAGCTCAGATATTCGCGATTGCAGTCGCATGACTGAAAAATCAAGCAGCTAGCCACTCAGCCAAAGCAGTCACTTTGGTACCAAAGCGGCAATTGGCGACCAGTCGCTTTGTGGCTAACTTCCTCGCGCAACGATTTCTAGTCGCCGGTGTGAATTAATTTTCACCTATTTTCTTTCTTGTCACAAGTTGGCCCAACAAAGGGTTTCATCCTCGCCGGCAGGAATCGTGCTTGCTTCAGCGTCGCAGCCTCGTCACAATACCGTATCTACCATTGAACTGACTCACAAGCTTTCGTAGAATGGCTCATTAGTCATTTATACGCAATGCATTTTTTTGTTAACCGTGTCTGTAAGCTGTATGAGCCTCAAGAAAACAAGCCACTGCTACCATTTAGCTACTTTCATTCCAAGCTCGTCAAATGTAGCACTGCTAATACACATTTCCTGAACTTTTCAAAAAAAAAGTCTTTCCCCCGACAAACAACGGAGCTCAGGCTACCCTGACATATTTTCCCCCTGAAGCAAAAAAAAAAACAAAACAGTTTGAGCACGGGGACGATATATTGAATGCGGTGACAGCAAAGGGCAATAATACTCGAAGTAAGAACAGCAACTAACTCTGATAAATCTGATCTCGCGTCTCTCTACAAAACGCTGGTTCAAGCGAATACATCCACTCCATAGAGTGAAGCAATTTTTCCGCTATCTGCCTTGTCAACGCGAAGTGATGTGAGCACAGCACGTGTGTGAGCCCCTGATAGCTTTTGATATAGCGCGCGCCAGCTCTCGCGACTCCATAGTCATGAAATCAAAGTTAGCAGTTGCTACTCGAGTGACTCCCCTCGCCTCTGGAGCCCCTTCATGCTCGACTAGCCCGACGAAGGGCTGGTGGGTGGCCCATCCCAATGGCCCCTCTTTGCTAAATGAGTCATCGATGGCAGGCTCACAAGAGGGACTATGTTATCGCATGCACCTTTCGTGTGACAGGGACAGCCGGCTAGTTTCATTGCTGTCTCAACTGAATTCGTCCCCAGCGCTCGCACGCTTTTGCTAATGCGTAGACCATACGATGCGTGGGGTGATGTAATTATTTTGGACTTTATATTCGACATCACGATGGCGGCTACAGTGACGGAAGCCGGGAGTGTTCGTTCAATTGCTATCGCAATAAAAATCCTGAACTCGCAAACCCGCCAACAGTATGAAAAGCCACTTTGAGAAAAACAACAGCTAGCCGTGATACCACATGTACAGGTCTGTCCACTATTAAAGGGAACAAGCGAATGCGTGGCAGCCATGCGGAAGAGGCAGCACATGCAATGCATCGTCTGTTCCTGAAACGTCCATTCGCCTCGAGCGTGGCAGCGCTGCCGTGGCCCGGGCCCACCGAGAAATCACGCTTCAAAAGCTGTCCAAATTGTTTAACTAAATTTATACTGTTGAATCCCTGCATTGAAGAATAAGGTTTGATTTGGTTTAGGCCCGCGTTAGTTGGTTCATCGTAGTAGGAGGGAAGAAATGGCCTGCATCACATGACGCAACTCAAGACGAGGAACAGGCGACAAAGCGCAGTTTTCTTTCCTGTTTCTTTCCTCTCGCGTTAACAATTCATCCACTTAAACATTGCGTGTCGCATAATTTGAAGAAAATTGCTATGCCAGTTGGTGTAAATGTGGCCCTCTCCGCACATTTCAAAATTTCTGGGCTCTGCAAAATGACGAAGCCTCGGCTCCGCAAAGCCCGATCCTTCGTCATAAACTACGAAAGCTAGCACACCGAGTGTCTGGTGGGAGTACTTATTAAATTTTTCTCACGCGGTTAGAAAATCAATAGCCCGGTTTCAGAAATGCTTGAATGATATATTCTATGATGACATTGCAGAACGGCCTGAAATAGAAGTGAAAGCCACATGGCTATTGACTGTCCAGATGTGGGTGCACGCCAGTTATTCGCGCCTGCATGCATGCTGTGTGGTCGTCGTAGGTCACGGCAAAAGTATTAGATTAGCAATTGAGGCATATAGAATTATTGAAGTGGCTGATTGTTGCGTGGGTATATAGAGTGTCGTATTATTATCAATAAATTGGGTGCTTTACTTGAATGCAACTGCGAAAGAATTAACGGTGACAGCGAATTCTCTTTATAGATCGCGTTTTTTTTTTCTAGTATAAGCACTGTTGGAAGCCACATCTCGTTCGTGTATCTCCCGTTGTATGTCGATGTCTTCGGGCCTTACCCCTCCAAACCGCATAAGACCAAGCAGTACTGGCGTAAATTTGCTGCAATCTTATTCAATCGCTCGCATGAACAGTACGCAAGGCTAAAAATGGCACTTTTGTTTAGGCAGTCACTATATGAGAAAAAAGCGCGCAATTTTAGGAGCTGCAATGTATTGACAGAAAGACAGCTATTATACACGCGCGGCGGCCGAATTGTATGGCAGTAGTTCTTAAGCTTAGGTTGCCTACTTGCATCCCTAGGGCTCTACCACAAAGTTCAGCCTCCAGCGCAATTTGTAGGTCACTTGCCTGTCCGTATCTTTTTGGTCACGTACGCTTCGGCCAAGTTTTTTGTGGTCACATGCGGTTCAGACAGCGTGGCCTAAGCTTCTGTCAAAATTCGGGTCACGTTTTTGACAATTCCTGCCACGTCACTATAGTTCAGTTCTTAAAGGGGCGAGCCCCTTTGGTTCAACTCCTTTCGTTTAAAAGGACTGTTTAACGGGTTTTTAACGCAATAGCGTTAGAAAGCTCGTGTCGCAGAAATTCCGCCGTTGGCGTCGGCACCGTTGGTTGTGGGCGAAAACTCGTCCGTGAAAGAAAAATCGAAAAAGACACAAATAAAGTAAACAATAAAATTTTTGGTCTCATTTAATTGAACCCCGGTCGTTCCCGTGGCAAGCAGTTATCTTAGCACAAAGCTACCATGTTACTTGCAGCTGCTTTGGGGAAAAAACACTGCATCATTGCCATGTAGAGGAAGGAGTCTCCTGAACGCATTCAGTTCGACCGGTGTCACGACGAAAACGAACCCATTCGGCGATTTGTAGGCGCATTTGGGTGGCCATCAAAACTACGTCAAAAAAGGCTGCGATAGTGCAGCCATCGCCGCTAAAAACACGCAGGAACGTTCAAACAGCTTTGAAAATGGACAACTATGTCCATCTAGCAGAAAACATATCATGCCTTTCCAGAGGCGTTTATCAAGCAAACCGCAAACGCTAGATGATGCGCTGCCATCTGCGAGGCATCGTGAGACTATTTATGGCCTCTCCACGGTCGCCTGGATCTGGCACGCACACCGCCAATAAGTGTTCTGTGGCCGCGCACGCCCGATCCAGGCGGCCATGGCCTCTCAGATGGCAAACGCACGGCGTGTATCTTGGAGGCCATGCGACTCTTGCTTTGGAGCAAAAAACTGTATGTACCATTCGCGTGCTCGTGCGCGTGTGTGTGTCTATGTGCCATCTGTCAGGCACTGTGAAAAACGTGTCTCGACTACAGCAAAGCGCTGTTGTAACAGAGGGATGTGCCCACACTGCACAGTCATTGCATTACTATAGATACGTCACGCTTATGCGCATGCGTGGTGTGTGTGCGTGCGTGTGTAACAAATCATACTGATAAGTATTCGCTTAGCGGTTAAAGGGTGTACTAGGGGCTGGATTCCGCTATCGCGTTCAACTCTTAAAGGCGAAGCTTAAGGGTCCCCTAATTTTTTATTGCCTTTCTGTTTCGTGTCGCAAGTAGTAAAAAGCATACCGTCTGAAGGGTTCACCTTCCAACAGTTCCTCTGGAAAAGCAGTAGAAATTTCTTAGACTTTTTTTTTATTTACACTCTGTTGACTCCAAGCGATGTAGGGACGTTCGCAACACTGGTTACTTCCTCCTATTGCAATCTTTGTCCGGTAAAAACTGGAGAATCGGAACCGCATGAATATTTTTCAGGCCTAATCAAGTATTGTTTAGTCATAAAATATTACCGTAATGGTCGTTTAGAGCTTATTAATTGTGAGATTAAGTACTACTACAACAACCTTTACAGCTTAGTTTAGTCAGCCTGAAAAGTCACCGCAGTCAAGCGGGAAACTTGGTCTATTTCAGCAATCCTGGTTGGCCATTGTTGTGAGAGAAACCGTAGGGGTTCCACTCATGCCAACCGTGCTACTGAAAGAAACATGAGACACACTTGATACATTAAAAAGGTACCTGCTGTTTTTCAGGTATAA